CACTAATAAATACCTGCTCCATCTTCTGACTTCATAGAGATGGCTGTAGATGGCAATTAGATCTTCCTTCACCTCATTACCAGATTGTAAAAATCCCATGTTTCCAAATTCTCCTGCATCAAAGAATTCATCTCTGACTCCAGACCCTCATTTCACACCCCCTGGACTTGCTTCAGTTCATCAGTCTTCTGCCAAGAAGGCTCCAACATGCTGCTGCAGATACAGTCTCAAAGATTCAATTTCCTCTGACTTGCTGACTATAGTCCTTTAACGCAGTTTACCCTTCACAGGGCTAATTCTCTTCTAGGTCTCTGCGTTTGCCTGTAACCAGCAGTTTCTCATCCACAATCAAATTATATATATTTTATAAGAAGTTGTTGACATGAAATGCTGCTAGTTAAAAATGTAATCTTTTTTATTATGAGTAAAAACACGTGGAATAGAAAATGATTACTCTGTTCGAATTTGCACGCACTAACAGCAAATTAACTGGGGACCTGTGCACTGTAAACAAGTGGAGCTCTTCCGGCAGAGCCAGCTGTTTGCTTAGTCCTGAAATTTGTGAACCAATGAAGCTCTGTTGTAAATGACTTGTTTTGTTCAATTTTTTAGCAATGCTTAGGAAAAAAATGCTCTTGTTGGAGAAAATGCATCATCTTAAATGCCTCAGGCATGGGGAAAACAGAATATTAAAGTAAACTGAATTTATTCCTGAATAGAGAAATACATTAAAGCTTTGCATAAGCTTATTGCTACAGCATATGTTTTGGAGACCATGCTCTGAGCACTTCAAGTGATGCACTTTTCTATATGAAGTCTAAATTTGGCATTTTGGTTATTGGATAATAATTTAAAGTGTAGCTTAGTACTGCTCCAGGACCCTGTTGCATGGATATCTGTATCTTTCCCTCAACTATGACACTGCGTGAATTTTACAAAGAAGTAGATTTTGAGTAGGAGGAGTTCAAGAAGGTATTTGTCTCTTGTATGCCAAACTCTTCTGTGTTAATGTATAGTATAAATGAGAACTCTATATCTAATAATACCTTCCTAATACTAAAAATAGCCTAGGAAAGGTTGAACCTTAAAGTACCCAAACCTGAAGCCACTGATAGTGTGGCTACACTGTTAGATTGTAGGTTAATGCTTTAATTCCCGTCTCTGTAAGATAGGATCATGACACTGGCCTTTGTTAGGTGTTCCATCTTTCTGCCGAAGAAATATGTTAGATATATAAAAAAGTATATATATAAAATACCTATATGAATGGGATATTTCTCCCATTTTAGAAGACTATTTACTACACTAAAAGTAACTCCAGTCTGTTAAATACTGTATTTTTATCAGAAGGACAGAGCCACCTGTATTGACTTTATTCAGAGAGGGGTTAATCAAAAGAAGCTTCAGGTGATAGAAAGCCATTTGCACACCCACAAGTAAGTGCAGTCAGCAAAGGCAGGGGAGGGTGGAGGGCGTAAAATAATACCCAGCTCCAGCTATTCCCAGTCCTGTCACAGGAACCATCAGGCAATCAAAGCCCATCTACACAAGCCCAGGGACACACAGGCAGGTGGGGAAGTGAAATCATGGGCTTGGACAAGAGGGCACCCTCTCTGGGCCCCTCCCAGGGCTGTCTCAGGAGACCCATCATGTTGAACTAAAACTAAAGTGTGTTTTGTACTGAGGAGGGTTGCTGCCTATGAGACACATCATGGGATACAAGGGAAAAGGCTTATTATGGGATAATTTGGGGAGGAACTAAAGATGGAAGAAGGGATGAATTTGAGGAGGAACAAGTATGGGGAGTTAAGGGGATAAAGGACCAGTTGGATGTAGATAGTTTGCTGGTTGGTTGCTTGTTTGTCTAATCCATTTCTAGTTAGTAATGTCTGCTGTATCTTCCTATTGAAGTACATTGTGGCTCTTTCTTGGGCAAGGGCTGTCTGTTCAGTGTGTGTTGTGGGGTGGGGGATGTCTGAGTGCCAGCAACTGGAGTCAAGAGTGTCACAGGGCTGCCAGCAAGAGGAGAGGCCAGAGCAAGCACAGGCCATGGGAGTGGGATTGTGGGTCACGAGGTCCTGTGTGTCCACTGTGCCAGCAGCTGCCCTGGGATTGTGGGCCAGAGCACTTGGGTGCCAACACCAGGAGAGTCCAGATGGGTTACAGCAAATGCCAGCCACAGGGGTGGGCCCAGCAGTCAGAGATCCCTGTGCCTGTGGTGCCAGCACCTGGAGCAAATGCACTCAGGGATGGAGCTGCGCCGTGGAGTGGCTGGGATAGCCTGGGAGCCATAGACACGTCTCTGTGTATGTGTCTAGCATGTGTCTAGTCTGTCCCCCTCAGCCCGAGGGGAGGGCTGAGGCTGTCGGTGTGGGCTGGCTGTGTGTGCTGGGGGGGCTTCCCAGGAACACCTCTGCAGCTGCACTGCTGCTCGCACCTGAGGAGCGCAGCTGCAGCAGCCTCACTTCTCTCAGGCCATCTCATCAACATGAGAGATCTTCTAAAATAAGCAAAACTTAGGTGACTCTCTCATCAAATTACCAGCTTTAAAAGATAATAATAATATTCTCATTTACCTCATGTAGTGAAAAAGCTATTTTTTCACAGTATTTATAGTGAGTAGATAAATCATGTTCTGTTCACTTGCTGTAAGATGCATTAGCAAACACCACTTTCTTTGACATAAAGAAGTGTACTGACCAAGTTGAATCCAAAAGTAGTTCTGGAAGTATTTTCATGTGAACATAATCTGATATAAAGAATGAATGGCATCTTAAAACAAAATTATCCCAATTTATTGTTGCTCTGGTGACCAATAAATCTAAAATAATTGCACTACAAACACGAGCAGTTTAACATAATCATCCCCATATGGCTAAAGATCCTAATAGGCTGTGTAGAATAACTCAGATAAAATCTTGAGTAAATTTTCTGATTAATGGAACACAGTCTTTCGGTAAATGCCCACAAGGAGTTTTGTCCTCTTTATTTCAGAGCCTCTCATGCTAAAGCTTTTCCATTTAGCAGGAAGGGATTTTCCCCATGATACTGAAGGTCCTTAAAAGTGATTTATTTTTTCGTTTGTGGCTATTTGCTGGAACAAGCCGTTATTCACAGATTTTATCCAAGTGGAAATTAACAAACAATTGGATGAACATAAACACCTTAAAAAAAAGTCAATCACTTGTTAACAATGTAAGATGAGGAGGTGACTGGATTATGATTTATTGTCCATTATTTGAGTTTACTTTTTTTTCTCTGTTGTGTGTCAGAAGAAAAAGCCAGTATTTTTATTCAACATTTTAAGTGGCAATTGTGTATAGCATACAAAACATCTACAAATAAAGACCTGTTTACAGTTCAAATATTGCATTTGAAATTGAGTCAATGTGAAACTGTCCCTCACAGAAAAAACAGTGATGGTAACACACTATACTTTGGAGTTGTTTTATCTTACAGAATCTGTTCATTGAATTAATTCTTGGTTACATACTACTGACAGCATTTTTTCAATTACACCAAAGCACTACAGCCTACTATGTATTCCAGTTTATCTTGGTAACTAAGATACCTTTTGATTAAGAAAACAACTGGTTTTGCTTAGCATGTGGTAAAGTGACCGGGAGGCTCATAGGAAAGTGACTCAGAACGGAAAGCTCTCCCCAGCGTGCCTGCAAGCAGCAGCACAGCTGCCAGAAGTTATCTGGGTCCATTTCCATAGCAGCCAATCAATACAGCCGTTTATTTTCTAAAGGCCTTGCACTTAATTAAGAATCTTATAAACTTAGATGTTACTGTTGAAGTTAAATGTTCTGATTATTTGATCTTTTTTCAGCATGATGGAAATAGCTAGACAGTACTTCTCTTTAATAAAACATTTCCATAATTAAAATACTTCAATTTTTTTCTTTTATGTAGTGGAATTAGAGGAACTGTTTAGTGGGAATAGGGATAGTTGGCTGGGTTGTGGGTTTTTTGTGGGATTTTTTGTTTGTTTTGTTTTGTTTGTGTTTTTTTGATTGTGTACAAATTTTTCTAATATCTTGTGGTTTATATGCCAGCGAAAGAAACTTTTTCTCTGACATCCTTATGAGAAGGAAGAAGAATTCCTGGTTTTATTTGATTTTATTTTTATAAAAATCAGATCATCGGTATCTGCAACTGAAGCCTTTTTACTGCCACTTCTACTTCTTGTTTGTAAATCCTGGCCTGTGATATGAATGGACTATCAAAAGCAGAGTGGTTTTGTGCAATCTTTCTTACTTGAACCATTATACCCATATAGTAGTATTGGTATGTTGAAATATATTCAAAATCCGTAAAGGCTTTAAGGATACTTACATTTCTCGAGAAGATGTTACATTTATCTTGCATTTACAAGCAAAAATACGTTTAATGTTCACTGCATTATCTTTTGCTACAATGTGAGTGATGTCTGGAACACTCTAACTGTATAATGTGCAGCTGCTTTGACTTTGCTGTAGAGGCAGAAGGCTGTTCTGAGAAGCATAAACAACTTGAACCATTATACCAAGTAGTACAAAGATCTTGGCACAGCGCTTTGACTTTATGAGTTTACAAAAACAGTTTTGTAGTGGAAAAAAGTATCATTATTACTAACTGGAAATGTTACAGAAGCAAAAACACTACAAGAACTCAGCGAAATGATGAATAGCAGCAGAAGTGATGCTGTTATTAGTAGAGCCAGTGGTATCCTGGGTGACAAGGAAAGGGTGGGAAGGATAATGATGAGTGGTGTCCTACTTCTGTGAAAAACAGATGTAATGAGATTTTTCTAACCTTTATGGATGACAAGTGAACCCTTTCAGTTTAGTGGCACTGCTCTATATGTGTCAGAAATGTTAGCAGTTATCAATTATGCCTTTTAAGGGTGTATTTTATGTGATGTCTTCTTGTCTGAGCCTGTTTCAATAGAGATTTAAGTATTTGTAATTTTCCTTTTTTGAATTCTGGTTCTTTAATGTATTTAAATAACTCACATGACAGCAGGATGGGATTATTTTTTCCCCCACAGTACAGGAAAGTGTGCAATGTAAAACATCCCAGATAAACAGTAGATCATGGTGTTTACAGAGCATGTTTCTTTCAGGTCACATGCTTGAATGTGACTCAGTGTTGTATCATCAGAATCTGTTAGTCTGTTGTGGTCATTACACTGACTCATTTTAGGCTGACTGATTTATTCCCACCTTAGGAAGTCAGTGACAGTGAACCCTGGAGCTGGCAGTCTCACTAGCACAGCAAAGGGAGCTTTTGTGAGCGCCCTGCAATTCTTAATTTTTCTATACATGTGATGAACTCTGGATCCAGCTTCTTCAGAACCACAGATTCTATCTGCTAAAGACTTCAAACTGCTTCTTCAATAAGAAGCTGCTGTCAGATGTTAGTATAAAACATAGGAATGTATGTATTAGGAAAATGGAAAAGGAAAAAGGAGAAATATGTGAAGATGGTACTTCAGTGATTAGACTGATGGAAGAAATTATCAGTTTCTTCACAGTTACAAGTTGTGAATTTAGAAACACGGAGCTAGAAACTTTTGATTATTGAGGCAAGGCCTCAGAATCACAGTCCTTACGCCCCCTGTTAGTGACAAACTGGCCAACCTTGTTGTAAAATGCAGTAAAAATGCATCTACTTTTTATGCATCTACTTTTATTTGAAAGCTGTTACAGAAACTTGCTCTGCAGTTTCAGGCCTTCTAAATTTCAGTTTTAAATGGATGGATGTTTGATTATGCTTTATTTTGGTCTTAACCACTTCTCATTTGACTTAAAAGTTATTTGGTCTCTCAAGTGTTTGAATCACCACTGTATTTTTTTTCTTTCTTTTAAAATACAGGGGGTTTCTAGTCATCCTCCCTGTGCCTGTTCATTTTGGAGTCTGTTCTTGGTTAGAATTAGCCAAACAGAATGTGTTCTGAGTCTTATAAAATTACATCAATAACAGAAAGCATCCTATGTCCTGCCTTTTTGTCACTGCATCATCCTGTCATTATTGTTACCCCCTGTGAGAAACAGATCCCTTCAGATGTGTCAGCTTACTTTGCTCTCAAATGGCAAACTCATAGCAGCTGCAATTCTCATTTGCCCCAAGCGCATTACTTTGTGTCTGGTTATTGCACATCATCTCCTTTCTACTTCTCCAAGCCTCAAATTTATGTAGTTTTGCTTGTATCATGCTCCTTTTCTCTGAACTGAAAAACTAGTTGTCAGAGATGCTATCTTGTGCACATTGCAAAGTTCAGCAGCTTGGGAGACAGTGCCTGGGAGCTGATGTTCAGGAAGACTCTCCTGAAGCAAACTGCAGAAATGATACTCTCATTCATTTGCAAAAACACATGGCTGTTGACCTCTTCTGGAGGTCTAATACTGTGTTCAAGGTTTGAAATAGTTATTAGTCATACACTGCTAAGAGCAGAATGGGGGGTTGATATTATTATTATTCAGGCCTTGGACCAGAATTTACATGAAGTGGCCACGCTGCAAAGAGTGGAATCAGTGTTTGTTCTTGAGCTGTCTTATTGCAGTGTATGGTTCTGAATGTGTGTGCAACTAACACTGAGCATATGCCCTCTACTTGCAGGGAAGTAGTACAGGCAAATTGTGTCCGCTGGAAGAAAAAGTTCTTCTTTATGTGTAAGATCAGTGCCAGTGCCACAACAGGGATTCTGGATACTTGCACTTGCAGGGTGTCTGTAAGGAAGGTAAGCAGCTTTTCCCCCCCTGCCCTCCTCTTTCCTTACTCATTCTTCCTTTGTGTTTTATTTTTGAATGTCTGATAAACTTCATAAAGAAAATTTTAGCTGCAATCACATCAGGTATTCCTTTAGTCAAAATTTTGTAGTAATCTTATTATTTACTTTACTTTGACTAATTTATGGGGGTTTTATATTTTTATTGAAGAAAACCCTTTTTCCAGCAGGGCAGCAAAGGAACTTCTCTTCAGTGTTTAAAAAGTTAGCTCTTGATTGACACGTCCAGCAAGCCAGCAGTAAGCTTAGACAGCTGAACTGTGCTAAGTACCAGAATTTTGCAGCACAAAGCATTTTGCTTTGGGGCCAGACCTTGTAAAAGCCCAATGCCAGCTGGCATCGGGCACTTGCCATTCCTCTCACCAAGACAAGTGTCTTGCTGGCCTGCTCCAAAGGCATTGTGATTAAGGTCTAAAAGACAGCAGCATAGTCTAGCAAAGTGTGGGAAGGTATTTTAAAATAAAGATTAATACCTGCTTTTCTAAAAAAAAAAAGAAAAATCCTGAGTCAGTATATTTAATGGCTTAATGGTGTGTCTTTGTAACTTTTTTTTTTTGTTTTTAGGAATTAAAAGGAGGAAAGGCATATGCAAAGGTAAATTGAGACATAGCTAATTTTGCCTACAGATACGCTTTTCTTTCTTGCCATTTCCTGCACTTTTAAAGTAACTCCAGAATAGTACTTAATACCCATGACTTCATAATGTTCATTATAGTGACACAGCGCTGTTGGAACTTTCAATCAGTGTGTTTAATAAGTATATAACAATGTTATACCACTAAAACATTTTTTCTTTCAGGCTGGTATGTGGAAACAGTTAGTAGAAGTAAACATTTACATTAAAAAATAAAGAAAACTCTCCTCATTCTTTTTTTCTCTTGGCACTTTAAATTTTTAACTTAAAATAGAACTATGCTGAATTTTACATTTGTTTTCTGCTTCTTGCCTCAGTCCATTCCCTTTAACAGACATTCTCTTACACATATTTGAAAGAAACCGCTATTGAGTGGTACTTAATGTGTAATTAGCAAGTACCTTCATTTAGCCAAATGCTTACTACTAATTGTCATTTTCTCTTAACAGCTGGGATTTGCAGATCTAAATCTAGCAGAGTTTGCTGGATCGGGAAATACCACTCGTCGCTGTTTACTGGAAGGTTACGATACCAAAAATACAAGACAAGACAACTCCATTCTCAAAGTAATTTCTTTATCATACTTAAAGCAATAAAGCAGAGAACAAGTGCTATTATTAAGCACTTAATGAAATTTAAAACTTACTTGCTGAACCTCTTTCTGGAAAGAAAGCTATTTGAAGTAAAACCAAAAGTGTTGTTTAGAGACAATCATTAAAATCCACACAGCCAAAAATATAATTTGTCCTATCTTTGAAATGGAGCTGGAGAGCTGTAAAAGAAACTCTTTCAAAACATGTTCTTAGTCTAAGGGGAGCTGAAAAATGAACAAGTTAATATATGATACCTTCAAAACTGGGCAATTTTCTGTGCATCTTTCTGAGAATGAATCTATTAATTGGCTTATTTATGTACAAGCTGCCTTCAATACCTCCATGACTCCTGGGATTTTCCTGTTTTCTATCTGGTAGTAATCACTGTAACAGCTGGGGAGAATTCTTGCAAAACATCCACCCTGACATTCTCTTCCCTTAGTCCAGGGAGTTAAAAAAACTGAATGAGCTGTTCAAACCTGAAAATAATTCCATTGAGATTGTTTCAGGTAATTAAAAAAAAAACAAAAAAAATTTTTCATAATGAGACACTGGGGTTAATTTTCCACATTATTCAGTATCCAGTCAGTGAATGGGCTTTCTGATCTGACAGTCACAGACTGTCCAGAACACTTATAATTGATGGCTTTGACCTGCATATGCAGGTCCTAAATTGATGGCTTTGACCTACCTAAGCCTTCAATACACTGTATCCTATGGCTTATTTACCCTGTGTGTTTTTGCTGTCTCTGATGTTAGCACAACCTGTCCTGAGAGCCAGAAGTTTGCTGAACACCTTCAGCAAAGAACATACTTCAGCACCCACTGGTCTAAACAATGTTCTGTGTGCTCATTCAGGTTTTAGGTTTCTTGGCTCTGTTTTTCCCTTGAAGCCATCTTAATTATTAATAATTCTAAGATTCTCCTGGATATATATATCTTTTTCAGAATCTTGTATGTGTAACTATGTTACTCTAAATGGTTACTCTAAATGGTATTTTGTGTTGTTTGTATGCCTAAGAAAAAAAATGGGTTTTGCCCGACTGTTTTTATTTGCATGGGTGATGATGGCATTTTATTTTCCTTAAATACAACATATATAGTTATATTTGTGGCAAATATAACTTACATGACCATGTGTGTCACAGACAGTTGGTTTTTTTTCTTATGGTAGATTTTGTTTTCTTAATGTGTAGGTTTTGATCAACATGCAGTTGATGTCTGGAGACCCGTGCTTTAAAACGTAAGTTTTAAAAAAATCTCTGTGGGGTGGTGTTTTGATTGTACATTCCATGTTGAGAATTACATTTCTAATCTGTGTTTTTACATCTCTTCAATCTGGCAACAGTATTTACAAAAAAAAATCCCACAAAAAATGGAATGGTAGAAGAATACTGACTAATGTTGTAAAATTGCTAGTAGAAGTGTCATAGTTCTTGCTGTTAGGAACTTAGTATCAAGCACAGAATACTCACCTGTACATTTGTAATGTAAAAAATAAATCACTTCAGGGAAACTGTTCCTGCAGCAACCTTACATAAATATACTCGGTACAGGCTGATCTGACTAATACTTGTGTCTGGAAAATATGCTCCTTTACCTTTTATTCACAAGTCTCATATGAGTTTGAAATATTAATTTGCAAAAAAACCCCAAAAAACAACAGAAGTGTGATATGACATAGTACAAGAGAAAGCACTTACAGGTATTTAGTTAGCAAAGACATTATGCAGCACAGTAAAAGATGCAAGAGGTAACATCTGAGGGGCAGGTAGCTAGGAAAATTCACTGCTATAGATTGAAGATCCTTTGGCCTTGTTGTCCTTAATCTGTAGTTAAGGAAATGTAATAGTTGTGCTGTGGTTTTGTAGCAGTCTAGCTTAGGTGATTCACCACAGAACATTTCAGTGTCCCCTTGCACCCCCTTCTTTTCTCTTCCACTAACCTTTAATGAAGAGAATAGAACACTGAACACTGTAGAATCTCATCTAGTGTTTACTGAATAAATAGCAAGAGGATATTATATGAATTTGTCTGATTGGGCAAAACTTTTCTGTATCCCTAGTTACTTAGCACCTCTTTTACTTCAGAACAACTTTAGTAGATTTACTTTAGAGTCAGACCTACTAACAAAGCAATGTATTTGTTTTTTTACTGCCTAGTACTGAAAGAGTTGAAGTAAGTACCTAAATAGCTTTCTGGATTCCTAGAGAAAAAAATCTTACTCAGACTTGGTATTTTCTTCCCAACTGGTGATATAACCATTTCCTGGAACATAAACTTTCAATTCAAACAGAACAAAAAATTTATATAACCCAGATGTCCTTTGTAAAAGGAAAAATAAACCTTTAAACAGTTTCACAATCTGGCATCAACTACATATTTTATGAAGAAGTCTAGAAGGCTTGGTGTTTGATCTGGGAAGACATCCTAGAAATCATTCAGTTCTTGCTTTCAAAAGTATGTTATGCAGTTAAATCACACAGGCACTGTATGTCTAGAATATTTCTAGAAAATTTCTAGAACTCCCTCCCT